GGAGAACATGGCGGTTGCTTGAGGCTGTCCCTGTCAGCCCTCACCACTGCAGCACGCAGATTTGATTCTTGTGTTACAAAACAGCGATGATCAGGCTGTGAAACGAGTGGGAATTGTGATTGCAGCTGTTCAAGCAGTCCTGTAACCTTTGGATTGCTCTTAATTGGCAAAATAACTATTTTTCTAAGCTGTACTGGTTATTCTCTGTTGTGGTTCAATCTGCAACTCGTTAAAGGCAAGTTAAATCAGTAATACTAATGCTGTAACTTTGAAGAAACTCACCAGACTCATATATTTTTCAACTTTTCCACATGATTATATCTATACACCTAAAAATCTCCTAGTAAAATCAAAGACTGCTGTGTAGCAGAAGTAATTCTATTTACAACAGAAGTGGTGTCATGGTTTTGATGGACTTCTTAGAGGTAATTCACAGGCATCGCTTCCTGTTAGCCCTGTGGTCTGCCTACCACAAACTGAAACCACTGCCCTCAGGAACTGTTACTGCAGAAAGAACTTAAAATACATGCATGTATAATTAAAAAAAGGTTAATAATTTTTCATGTAGTTAGCTGTTTTGTTGTTGCTGGTTTGGTTTTTTTATCAAATAGATTATAGGGGGAAAAATCTTTACACAAGACAGTAAATGTTCAGGAGGAAAATACACGTTGCAACAATTAAGTAGTTATGGCAAAGGATAAGAAGAAAGATGGCAAGAAGGCAGAAAAATCTGTACGTCCTCCTATTCCTGTACAAGATGCTACAGCTGAGAGTAGTTCAACAAAGCCGACAGATTTGGAGACCTCAGTGAATGGAGTGGAAGAAACACAGGCAAATCCACCGGTGATAGCGGATAAAGAACCAGAGGAGGTAGAGGAACCTCCAGCCCAAGATGTTCCGCAGTACTACGAGGTGCCTGTTCTTACTCAGGTTATTGTGAAAAGGTATGCTTGTTACATTAGTGAAGTCAAGAATTCTCATTTAAGTATCTCTGGTGTACCCAATGTCATTCAAACACAGATTTGACTCTTGATTTGAGGCAGTGAATTAGGTTATTCAGACCTAGTTGCCTGCCTGTAAGCTAGTAAATGCTAGCAATGTGCTTGTTTTCTTAATTGAAGGAAATATGGGTGAGAGGCAAAACAACAATTATGTGAAATATTACCAGGAAGGTGCAAAAAATTTGAAGTCTTCTTGTAGCTCATTTTTCTACGCAGGATGCAACAACTGGCCTGTGTGTAGACCATGGTAAATCAATGGTCAGTTATTGTATGTCTGTAGAGATTTAGGTCTACTGGCAGTGACTTGAAATCTTCATCTTTAGTTTGTTTTCCTTGTAGCTATGAAGGTGAAAAAGTCCATGGATTGTATGAGGGTGAAGGATTTGCATATTTTGAGGGGGGAAATACATATAAGGTGAGTGTTTAAATTTAGAAAAAAAAAAATCAATCAAGGTCTTTGTCTAGAACAGGGAGGCTATTTCTTTTAATGTAGGTGGAGGTAGAGCTTGTGTAAGCATTGAAAGCTCTGTTGGTTTCTGGTATTAAAACTTCATTTGAAACTAGTAGTTGGAGGGGAATTAACATGTCATTATTTTGAAGTCTTACAAAGTCACTCCAGGCTTCAGTTGTAAGAATAAATTTGCAAACAATGCTGTTCTCTTCGTTTTGAAGGGCATGTTTTCTGGAGGGCTTATGCACGGACAGGGGACTTACACGTGGGCTGATGGAGTGAAGTATGAGGTAAAATGCAATTTAACTTATAACTGAACACATTTACAGCCAATTAGCTGTGCAAATTCAAGAAAAGTAGATAAGTTGCAGTAATTGGTACGGCATGGGTGGCAACTGCAGAACTATGGCAGTGATTTCAATCACAAGCCTGACTTCTCCCAGATAGCTGGGGAACAGTGAGTCTTAGTTTTTTAAATGTTGTAATTTAATCTTTTAGGGAACATTTGTTAGGAATGTGCAGATGTTTAGTGGCCGTTATACGTGGAATGATGGCAGCATTTATGAAGGATCAATCAAGAATGGAGTTAGGCATGGATTTGGATTTTTCAGGAGTGGTACTTGTCCTGTTTCTTACGTTGGCTATTGGTGTAAAGGCAAAAGACACGGTAAGGTAAGTAAGAACACTAAATGAGAGCACCCCATGATCTTGGGTGACTACCTTCTAGAACAGCAAGCACGCTTGTGGAAAGATTTTCCAAACATGTTTTGTGCCATTGTGTGGTCTTATGCTGTGTAGAGATTTGTTTTTCCTAAGAATCTTCTCTGAAGTCATGAATGCTAATTAAAGCAACTGGGATGGGATCTTGTTTGTAGTGGAAGAGGTGAATGATATCCTAAAAGAATAATTGGGCTACTATGGGGTTTGTCCTTGATGCTGCTCCAAGTAGGTGATGACAAAGTCAAAACTGATGACCGCATCAGCAGCCACGTAACAATGACAGAACAGTTAGCTTCCCAGTAATGACAAAGTGATCCTGCCTCCCAAATGTTAAGCAGACCAAGTACGATAATTACAATTAAGACTGCCTTGTTTAGTGTAAGTAACATCTAGTTGCAACTTTTTAAAGGCAAGTAGTGCTTTTATCTGTCTCAGGTTTTTTGTGCATCCAGATTGAAACACTCTTCTGGGCCTGACATTTTGAAGGCATTGCTCAGCATGTGAGGAAAATCCATTCTAATCACATGGGGTTTGGTCTGCGTCACTAATGAGACACTAAAATCACACAGGCTGCTGTGAATGGTCAGCAGTGCAATGGTCTGTCCAGTTTGTTCTGAGAGGATGCTATCAGAGAAAGACAGAACAATTGATGCTGTAGACCTGCTCTTAGAAGTTGAATTCTGAATGACTCAGAAAACTGATCTACCTCAGAGTGACTACTGTGATTAAGTTGCCAAAAGTTAGCTCTCTGAAGAGTATTTCCAAGTGGTTTGAAAAACATGGTAGACTTTGACATTATGTAATATGATTATGGTTTTTTTGAACACTTGGTCTTTTTTAAATTCTTAACTAGTATTCATCAAAAGAGGCTGCTTTTTTATTTAATTTTATATCTTCAGTTGCTTTCAATACAATGTCTCAAAGTGACTATAAGTAAGAGCATGATTATGTGTGCCTTACCTAATTTGTATGCCATGTTTTATTAATATAGATGAATAGGTATTTAAATTGACTGTACTGTTTGTTTCAGGGTACTGTTTATTATGATCAGGAACGTACCTCTTGGTATTCAGGTGACTGGGTAAATAACATCAAAGAAGGATGGGGAATGAGATGGTAAACATGATAACACTTGTTCTTATTCTCATTTTTTTAATTTTACATGTATTATTATACCATTTCTCCTACTGTTTAAAATGGATACAAATGCTACCATTTCCTGGTAGTGTGTACTTTCTGCAGTGGAATAAATAATTGTATGAAGTGCTTTATAATAATAAAATAGACATTCTCTATAGCTTACATTTTTATGTTGGTATATTTATGCTGATCATTCCCACAAAAAAAAGTCTAAAGACAAAATCCAAAATCAGCTTTGGTAAACCACAAGTCAACATTTAAAACCAAATAAACTCAATTGATTTGAACAGCTTTCATGAATAAATGATTTATTTGTGGAATTATATATAAAATAATATTTTTATTAGCTATGGCAAAGACTCTTTGGAAAAAAAAGAACTAGTTAATGTTTTTACAGTGATTTGTAAGGAGGTGAACAGTGGGTATAATCAAACCTCTGTATCCATGTCACAGTGAGCCAATTTTCAAATTAATGCTTATATTTAGCATTAATAAATGTTAAATTTATTAGCAATGAAGTGTTGCATAAACCTCGCTTTCATAGGATCCACTCAGAATTTACTATGAATGAGTCATTAACTTTTTTTTGTTTTCTTGCAGCTACAAGTCTGGAAATATCTATGAAGGTCAGTGGGAGAAAAATGTACGTCATGGAAAAGGAAGAATGAGATGGTTGACAGCTAATCAAGAGTATATGGGACAGTGGGTGTATGGCATACAGGTATTAATTTCTTCCCCAGCAACCTCTTGAGTTCAGCATCTGTCCATTACTCTAGTAAAACTAGATGGGGAGCTTTGTGCAGTATCGAAGGGGCTTTGTGTGATTTTTGCCAGCTGAGATAGCGGAAATATGCTGTTTATTGTAAGTTGATTCTAATGTTAGCAATATCCAAATTTTTAAAAGGTTTTTGACTTAGACTTACAAAATGATAATTTAATTCTCTAATGGAAAATCTAAACATTTTTCATTTTAAAAAAAGTGTAAAACGTTAAATGTTACTTAGCTTGAGATATGGCTTCAGCAGTCAGTGTAAGTGGCAATTTGCTTCTGTGTCACCTGTAAAATATTAGACAACACTGTTCCCTATTGTGAAAATTTTATGATGGAAGATGATGATTTCTGGCATTTTCTGTTCCTTCCGTTTGTTATTCTGTTGGAAAAAAGAATGTGAGCTACTTCCTCTGTCTTTTCACTCTGTATAAAATTGTCAAGGAGTCCAGCTTTTGGAACATCGTGGCGCTCTGTCTGGCATGATGTTCCTCACCTGGCTGTTCCACATAACAGTCAAAAGGAAGAATGTCTTTAGGAGTCCTGTTAGTAGAGCTCGCTCAAGTATGTGTTGATTTGATGTGTCCTCTGAGCGCTTCTCCCACGCACCTTTGTACAATGTAGTTCTATGGATGGTGTGAAGTACTGCAGCTATCAACTGGCTACTTTTATTTGAGAGATTTGCCAACGGTGGCTCTTAAAGATGCCTAGGTGGTTCTCCTTTTTAAAAGTCTGGACAATAGTAGCTCTTCTGGAGACTTTTTTTTAAACACACAATTTTTTTTTTCAGCATGGATATGGCACCCACATATGGTTTTTGAAGAGAATGCCTGTGTCTCAGTATCCTTTAAGGAATGAATACATAGGTGATTTTGTAAATGGGGAACGTCAGGGACATGGGAAGTTCATATATGCCAGTGGAGCAGTGTACGATGGTGAATGGGCTTGTAATAAGAAGCATGGCAAGGTAAGTATTGACAAGTCATAAGACGAAACTACAGACAACACCAGAGGAGACTATTCTGGTCTGTATAGCGGATCTCTAGATTTCTGTGTGGAAAACTACATTCAATTTGCATTGTGGGTGGAATCCCAACATGAAGGGCAGAGTCCACTGAAAGCAGTAGGAGTCCTTCCAAGGACCTTGCTGGGCCACAGATTTGACTCTGTGGTTAGATGTGTGTTGTGTGTATAAAGAAACATGTTTTACTGTGGAGATTTTCAGTGCAATAGGTGCATCTTGATTTTTGCAGCGAGTGGTCAGTACTGTCACTCTTACAGTATGAGCTAATGGATTTCAAGCTATCCATGCAGAGAGATGCTCTCACATTAACAGACTGTTTTAAAAAAACAAACAAGTGTGAGTGGAGTGCCACATATGCAAAGTAAAGATTGCAAACAAGTCTTTCTGTATGAAAAGGGGAATGTTTTTTCCTCAAAATATTTTTCAAAATCAGATATATAGGCAATTCTTCATCCCAGCAGTGTGCTTTATTTAACAGATGACAAAGGGTAGGAGAAATTATTTTGCTTTATTTTATCTCACATGTTGCATTTTAGCCAAGATTCTTAAAAGGAAATTTGATTGAGAGCATTAGGTTTATTTTTTCTGATCTTTGATTTATATTTATATTGAAATTAATCAAATTAATCTGTCTGTAGGGCAAGTTTGTTTTCAGGAATGGTCATGTTTATGAAGGAGAGTTTATAGATGATCATATAGTAGAATATCCTGCTTTTCAAGTAGGTGCAATGAATGCAGAAGAGCTGAATGCCATTTGCACAGGAAGTCATCTTGGCACTGGTAAGCAGCTTAAGAAAACAAATTCTACACAGTTCACATTTTGTTGTTCCTTTTTTCTGTAATGTGAATTTGTTCATACTTACTCAAGAGCCAGACATATTTCTTCAAAGAACTTTGATAAAGGTGGGAATGATCTTAATAATTAATGACTTTTGCTCCCATGCTTCTTGTTTCCTGTGCATGACAGTTTGAGTGATTCATCCACGCTACATCTTGTAATGCTTCTGAAACACTGTTGTCTGAAAGTTTCATAACATATGTAATATCTGCATTTTGTTTGGGCTAGGGGTTGGATTTGACAAAATTGCTCTTCAGTTATGTTGATTATTAAATCTCTACTCCTCACTATAAAGGAGTCTCTATTATTCTCAGTTTGAAGTCAGTAAGATAAGAAGGAATAATACATATTTTATTTTCCCTCTGTGTGTGTATTTAACTTCATTTTAATTTGTTTTATTTGCATAGTAGAAAACATCACAATTATTAATTGCTCAGAAAATACTTCTGTTCTGGGATCAGATATTGAGTTGGATATATCTTCACTGCTTGACTTGTTGCCAAGGGAAGAGAGACATGAAGAAGTGAAACAAGTACGAGTCTACTGTTTGATATTTTCAGTTTTCCCTCGCAGTGTGTTTCATATTTTATTTCTGGTTTATTTGTATTAAAGTAACCCTTTCCATTAAAGAATTATTTGAAAATCTGAAGGCCATGGGAACAGAAAAGCAAAAAAGAATAAATAGACAGTATTGCCTCTTCCTGAGCATCCACTAGAAAACAATAAAAAAATATGTTAGCATATCTGCAAGGGCATTCAGCAGCTACCTTTAGCTACTGTGAGGTTTGTCTGCTGACAGAGACTAATGTATTTTTATCAGTCACCAAAAAATATGTATTATGACTACATTTGAGTAATGCTCTCATGAACACTTAAGCAGGGGTATGCTCTTTGAAGTTGTAAGATCAAAAGCATTGTATGCCCAGTTACAGGATCAATACAAGCTGATCCCTACTTGCTGTGAGACGATGCTGAAAACATATCCTACTTTATTTAGGTAGAATTTGCTGTGTTGAGGCATATTACAGAACTGAGAAGAGTTTACACCTTCTACAGCAGCTTAGGTTGCGATCATTCTCTTGACAACACCTTCCTCATGACTAAGCTCCAATTCTGGAGACTTCTGAAGGACTGCCATTTTCATCACTCCAACATAACTCTTGCTGAAATGGATCGGATATTGAGCGGTTTGTATTGCTGTTGATCGGGATCTAGAATCTAGGAATTTTAATAGTAAGCTGTGGAGAGTTGGAGTGGCAAGTTCTACTGATAGCTCGACACTGGTAGTTAAGTAGCCCTGAGTAAGTACCTCTGTGCCTGTGAGTTCGCAGCAGATGCATTAACACTTCTCCAGGCGCTTCAGGTGCTTAGGTGAGAAAATGCAAAATTAAAATACCACTTTAAAAAAATGTTCTAAAGAGCTATCTGTTAAAAAGTTGTATTTACCCTTACTTGCACAGGAAGTAATAATAGTAATCTTGCCATTACTATTACATGTAGTTTTAAGAGGTGTGAGAAAGAGAAATAGAAGAAACTTTTTTTTTTTTTACACTTCCCCCCCCACGCCCCATGCTCTTAACTTTGGTTTGCATGTAATTTTTTTTTTTTTTTTACTTCCACAGAGCCAGTTAATTGGTTCCATTTAGACCTGCAGTGGGATGCACTGCAGCATCCCTAGTATGTGAAGGGCTTAAATCCAACTTTGCTTCTCCTTTCATTCCTATATGCTGAGTGGGTGCATTTCTGGAAAGAGAGAATTTGCTAAGATTCAGGTATAGGTGGACGCTTCTCCCCGACCTGCTTGTTTGGAACTGGTGCTGTGCCTGGTCTGATTCTTCCAGGAGTGTTATTACACTGTGATAGGTGGAGATGGGGGGGATAAGAAAGGCTGACAAGTCACTATGCCTATAAGCATTTTAATGTACATGATACCAATTGAGATTTATTTTGTCAAATTTTTTAGGTGATAAAACACCTCTTGAGGAGATACATTGTCCACATGAGACTTTACTGTTCAGAACATTTTTATCTTACCTTATTCGTCTAGCATTTCATGTTTATCATGAACAGCACAAGTAAGTTTCATCTTTTAGTGAAATTTGTTTCAGCGTAATCAGTTTGAGTCTTCCCAGGCCAGAGTATTTTTGTTTCAACTGTAGGGAGAAAGGTCCTTATCTGCATAAGTGTTTCTTAGAAATGATGTCCAGGAATGTTATTCCCGCTGCCTGTCGTATCCAAGGTAAGTAATGGTATTTCTTCTGTGCTGTGCAGAATTCATCAATTAGTACCATGTACATCACAGTTTTATTGTAACTGTTACTTTTTCCCAATTAATTTTTAAAGGTATCTTATTTTCTGAAGAACGACGTACAATTTTTGCCATGAGCTACATCAACAAATGCTGGGAAACATATAGAGCTTTTTGTAGACCGAGTACCAGACCTCCATTTGAACCCACAATGAAAATGAGGAACTTCCTTTGGATGTTGAATGTAATAATCTAAATTTTTTGTGTGTGATTAGATGTGCTTTATTTGTTCCGTTTATATGGGCATTTTAAAATACTATGTGTGGTTTCTGCACAGTTGAAAAGGTAGGAGTGCTGTTATTTGTACAAACTGTCCAACAAACATGAAAGGGACAGTTGTTCTATGCACATAATTTATGTACTTTTGCAGGATTGAATTCTGATTTCATACTCGATCATTTCAAAGAATCAAATCTTAGATGTGTTTTAAGGGAATATAAATATTTTTGCTGGCTTTTTTTCTTTTTTTCTTCCATCCTGTAAAATGTATATACAAAAATGTCTTACTGGTGGAACTCAAAGACTAGCAGCTTTTGAAATAATACAGTAAACCATTTTAATAATGCATTGATTTAATATACTGCATTATGAACATGAGATTCTTTACTAAAATTCAGTAATTCGGGGACAGATCAAGGTTGCACTGAAGCTAGGGAGCAATTCCCATTGATATGCCTGAGTTTTGGGTCACTGTCACTGTTTTAAATCCAAGCCTTTTTTTAATGAAAAAATTTAATAAAAATATCAGATGGCAAAATTGTAATTTCTTATATTTTTATTTATGAGCTTTCACAAATTCTTTCTTAACATTGTTTTTGCAGTCTAGGAAAAATTCCGATTGACTTCAGTAGGGTCAGAATTCACTCTGTCGTTTAATTACATATGTGGAAGTAGCATTTGAAACCCCTGGAAATGTTGACGCAGGCTTTAAAGGGAGTTAGATTAGGTCCACGTGGGAATGCCTTAAGTGCTGTTAACATATAACATTTAATCTTACCCAGGATTTCAAACTTCTCAGCAAACAATTAACTGCTTCAAGACTTGTGGAAATACTTGTCAAAGATGGTCCCTCTCTACATGACAGCAGCAATGCCAACCTGGAGCAGGAGGTGTGTATGGAAAAAAACCCATCATAGTTCATTGCTACAGGAACAATTAAAATTACTTTTAAAAAATGCTGCAAATACTGTCCTATATGCTAGAACAGGAGGAGAATGAATGAATTTATTCCAAAAAAATAGCATCCAAACCTGAGCCTCTATTTTTTTGTCTTCCTTTGTTCTGCCTATATCTTCTGTTTTAGCTCGTGTACTTCCATGTTTTTCTTATTATCTTGCCCTTCTTAGTACAGTCTCAGCATACCTGACCATGCAGATAACTCCTTGAGAGTGCTGTAACCCAGAAGGTGAAATACCATTTCTAGGAGACTGCTGCTAATAATAGTGGGGGGAGCAGTTACCTGACAATAGGTGCATACAGTGATTACACAGGGATGAATCCCAGCACTTCCAGCTGCCGAGGCAAGCACTGGAAATGTTAAGATGGGTCAAGAATTAAGATGTGAACCCACTGATCCTGAAAATCTGGTGATCCAAGAAACGGCATTAATGATGTGTGAAGTGCTGCCACCTCAATGAGGCAGAGCAGCGACTGTGGAAGACTTGTGCTACGCGACATCTTGGCCCGCTATAGAAGGCCTTCACCCTTAAAGAATTATCTCTTACTCAGTGATGGTCTATTGTAAATGACATAATTGAATGTATTGTTTTAAACAGTATCTAATAAACTGAACACACAGTGTAAGTCTTACTAAGGGATTAATTATGCACCCATGCTTGGGGCTTCCGGAAGCATTGTATGATATTAAACATTTTAGGTAATAGCAGTAGTTGTGTGTTATTTGTTAGAGAAATTTCACATAGCTCCAGATACAGCAAAAATCTATGCAATAGTTTATTTCAATATGACTTGTATAAGTCATAACACAGTATGTCACCACTTGAATTTGTTTAAGTTTTGGCAGTTTTCAATTTTTCTTCAGAAGAAGGGATGTTTGAGTAGATAAATGAGGCCAGCGAGGCTGCACAACCAACCGCTTTTGAGTTCGTTGCTTGCTCGGGTACATATGCCCATTACTGAAAGGATTTTGTAAAAATGAATGAATCACTGTGTTTGTTTTACTCTAGTTGGTTTTTCTTGAATTTGTTGAAGCTCTTCTTGATTGTGCATCAGTGTACGTTACCAGTGATATGATTAAGGAGCACATAGATCGTGATAATCAGACAAGAAGTAGCTTTAGAATCGAGGGTCTCTCCGAGGGAATCACAAATGTGTCTCTGTACCCAGAATATTCTCTGTCCCAGGTAAAGTTGATGCAAACCTGTTAAGTATTATTATATGTCCATTTTGAGGGCTAAGTCAGGCCTGCCAATTTTCTGTGTTTCCTGAACATAGAAACCAGTTTCCTCTTTTGGCATAAACAGTCATTTGATTGGGCCCTTCTGCTTTTTCTGTTTGTTGCTACCTTAGATTGTAACATCAGTATAGAGAGTTTTAACACACTTGAGCATTTTCCTAGATAACTATAAATACACATGAAGTCTTCCGGTGTTTGAAGGGGAATTGACAAATTGGTTGACTGATGGAAGATATGCGTGTCCTGTATAAGTTGAATGTCTAAAATTGCCGTGTAAAAATGGCATTGCGGTTGTATGTAGCAAACCTTGCTGTTTCCCAGCAGTTAAGCTATGATCTGTTTTTGCTGAAGTTTTGAATAAGGATTTTGTGGGTTGTGAGATGCTGCCTGTGACACTGGTGCAATTTAGCTGCACAGGGTAGTTGAAGGCAGGGCTTAGAATTGTGATTATTTGGAATTATGCACAAGATGAAAGTATTTTTATTAATTCAAAGAGCATTCACAAACACCTAATTTCAATCTCTGTAAGCCAGTAGAGCCACTTCCCATTCTCTGGCCAATTGTTCCCATCCTATAGAACCCATTCCCTTGCATCACTGCAAGCATTAATACAGCTGCACAGTGAAATGGTCCAGTTAAAATAGTCAGATTTTCCAAGACTAAAAGAAAATCTTAATTTAAAATGTATCGAATGTAAAATTCTTGTGTTTACTTCTTATTAGTGCACTTACAGCAGAAGTATAATTGGTCCACACACAAACGATGACATTTCTGAGGCAACTGAGCTTTACACTTGTTCGTGGTCATCTTCAAGCAAAAATGTCGTATCACAAGATGAAATGAAACATGAGGTATGTATAAAGCCCACACTGAAAGATGGAGCAGAGGGCTGCAATTCATGGGTGACAGAGCACCCAAGGTAGTTTTAAGTTTTGAAAGGGACTAGAATTTCATCTAAAATAAATACAATGTGTTCCCATGCCTGGATCCACGTACAAGCCTAGAAATGGTGCGTTTCCATTGCTGACAAAGTATTTGTTCCCACACATACACATAACACATGTTAATTAGAATTTTGAGTGGTATCTTCTACATTAGTTAAAACAGTGGTGAGTAAAGCTACAGTTTTACCTTTATTTGTAAGGTGGGGATTGAGAGGCTGAGAAGTGGGCAGAGAGATTTAGAAGCACTGGGGAAGGTAACTGTAATATAATTCCTAAAACACTTTTCAGAAGTCTTCCAGCAAACTTTTCCCCTTCACTGCCTTTACAATTTTGTACCCAGTGTATGACTAGAATGAGATTCTTGATATTCCAAGACCAAAAATGGATCAGTTTATTCCTGTGATTTCAGAGTAAGATAGTAAGGATTACTGTTTTGTACTGGAATCGTGGAAATCAGAGAATTTGGAAACTTCCTGACTTTTAGAAAATATACCAACACTTAGAATTGTGTTTGACCTGAGCTTTTGTGAGACTTTTACTGTGACTTGTCTGAAAAGAATGGCATCATCAGGCTGCAGGATGTGCTTGGGATGACAGTTGAAAAGATTTCAAAGCATCCTTCTCAGATATACTCTTGAATGTTGTTCTCTCCTTTTAACTCAATACAATTCCTGGAGAATATTCTATAGTCAGGAATAGAAATTCATGATTGTTTCCTCAGGAGCAGATAAATAATAGTCTGTAGAGCAACACGTAAGAACAGAGGGACATGCCTAAGAACAGGAGCTTTCACTCCCTGTGCTTCTATCTTTCCCTAGCTCTGATATAGGATAATCCTACTTCCCTGGCTGGTATCGAAGGTAAAGTGTTACGACTTGAAAGTGTGAAACACTATTGCGATTTAAACGTTTTGAAATAGGCATAATTGCAGAATGCATTTGGTTGGCAGAATGCTTTAGCGGTAGGAATTTGCATGACTCAAATGGATATGTGATTTAACTTTTTAATTTGAACACAAGTCCAGGCATTTAGTAACTGAATTTAAAACTTCTTGCCAGTCACTGAGACCTTGTGAAGACAGAGAGCATCTTCCTCAAGAATTTCTACTGGGTGAGTACTGTAGTTACCGTAGGCATCTATAAGCAGTGGTGCTAGAGGAGATTCACTCTTTCTGCAACTTTAAAGATGATTAAAACAGTAGCTGATCATTGAAACAGCTCAATGTATTGCAGTTACAGAGGGTAGCTGCGTTCAGTTTGGCAGTTATGACAAGGTTTATGTTTAGCTTTCCGCACCTCCTGTACACAGACAGCTGGATAAGTTTGAATCGCTGAACTTCTGGTGCTTTTTAATTAGAAGCTATCACATTTTCCTTAAAAATAATTTAAAGGCTTTTTAAAACTAAATTCTTCCTGTTCTGTCCCACTCATTTGGGCATGGAAACAGGAGATTGAACTCTGCATTGTGCCTTCATTATAAACAAACTTTTAATCCATACAGAAGTATTTCAACCACAGGTCTAGCTGTAAGGTCAGATGACAATGTGTATTTGTTTGCATGGAAGATCAAACCTGATATTTAATGCATAGAGATACAGACGAGTAATTTTAATTTTCTTTCTTTGCAATATCAGATACTGCTCTCTCATTTCACACAACTCATGGAGATATCAAAGATGTTCCATCATTGTTCAGCTGGGATGCAGAAAAAGAACAAGATTTCTGTCCAGCAAAGGATTTGACAGGTAAAGCAGTCCTACTGTTTTAAGACTTAACACCAAAAAAAAAAAAAATCCCTTACAGCTCTTGAATTGTGAAATTTTAATTGTATATGCAGATTTCAGCTTGACACAAGAGGGCAGTAAATGAACATTAGTTCTGGAGCAAGATTTTAAAAGAAAATTTTTTAAAGAAAATGAAACTTAATAATTGAAATATTAAAGTACTGACTTAAATGGTTTCCTCAATTTTAAAATGCCACATTTTATTTGTAGGGCCTCTATAAGCTGTAATTTGTACTTACTTTATGAGAAGCTCAATCCGCAAGCCTGCCCATTTTTTAATGTCTTAGACAAATGAAATATATTATTGCTATGTCTTGCTTCTTTTACCTAATATAAGAATTATTATGAATGGTGTGCCACCATTGGTTGGGATAAGATGTCTTATGTTATGACAGGCCAGCATTCATGCAGAAATCAGTAAGAGCATTTTTATATGGTGATGCTAGTAACCTTTTTACACTATCATCTCCCTTCTGGTTGATTAGCAGAGCTCATCTGGATATTTTTTTTTTTTGTGCTTGTTAAATCTTTTCTACAGATAAAGAACCCAAATCCAAGACCATATGTAGACAGGAATCTTTGTGTAGTCGTGAGCTTTTTCACTGAAATCTGATGACTGACAAGTTACAGATCTGAAAAACCAGCAGCTGGGCCCAGCCTCTTTTTCTGACAGTCACATTTGAACGCTCGCATGCAATTCTGTTCTTTCAGGTAGACATGTTTGTTCCCCCAGACACAGGAGTCACAGATACTGAAATGTCATCAGATTACCGCGGAAGACATTTATCACAGGATTAAAAGGGAAAGTTCATATTCTCTTGATGCCATTCCCAGGGAGAAGACACTCTGAAGACCCACCCTCTTTCACATGCATCAGTTAAAAGTTTCTCACAGCTGTCATCTTCTGTACCATGCACCAGCCAGGCTTTCTCATTGCAGTGTATCAGATCTGAAATGCTGTAGGCCAAAACTATTGTAGTACCTTAGAAATAAAAGTGCCCTGCTAAATAAACATGTTTAATTTACATGTTGCAGATGAACCAAAAGAAGCCAAAACTGAACAAGAGGAGGAATTTAGTTTGTGGATGTGTCAGGTGCAAATCTTTTTTACAACTAAGTTCTTTCCTGCCTACCAGCATGAAAAAGTGCTGAGGGAAAAAATACAAGAAAATAGACTACGAGATGCTGAATTAGCTGAGCTGAGAAAGATCAAGGATGAGGAGCTGGCAAAGTGAGTGGTGTCTCTTACGTACTGTTATTGCTTATCTTCTACTAACAAAATTATTGAAGTGTGCTTTAATATACTAGTATGGCATACTGCAACTGGGAAAACAAATCCAGGTGTAATAAGCAACATACAGAATGTAACTCGTGACTTCTGTTACTGTCAGGAGCAACAAATACAGGCTGCTTTCAGGTTACAGAACTCTGTATTTCCTGGCACTTGAGCCCTCTCTGTGTAAAGGGCAGTTAAGACTTTTTTTTTTTTTAACCTACTGTAAGTCAGACTCGAAGTGGTAACTAGACAGATTTTCTGCTTCTCTGCAATATGACAGTTTATATTGCTCATACTGTGAGCATAGATGCAGTTGCTTAGCCAGTATAAATCTGTCTCCCCTCTTTTGCAGTATATTAAATGCAAACTTTGTTCACTCAGACTTATTGCTGAAAGAGAAGAAGAGACAAAAAGGCAAGAAGCAGCTGCAGCAGAAAAAACATCTGACTCCAAGAGTGCAGATTTTAAGGAGCTAGAGGAGCTGGTCACACAGTTAGTACCCCCTCTGAAGGAAGAGACACCCATTGTAGCACCCCCAGTTGTTACCAAGGTGCCTGCTGGCAAAAAGAGAAAGAAGAAATAAATCTTCTGATGAGAAATACTGAACCTTCAAGTACGTATGTACTCTTTGAATAAGAAACCAAACCAACAGCAAAGAACCACACATGCAGTAAGGTCTAAAATACAAGTATGGTAAAACTGTTTCAGAGGGAAACCATCTGCTCTTACACCAAAGATCTTGGGAGAGAGAATACAGTCATTTACACATGTAACCCTTTAAACAACATTATTCCAGAAGTCAATATTTGACTTGCACCTAAAAATTCCCTCAGTGTTAAGTTGATACAAGAACTGGTATCTTGTCACGATCATATGTTCCAGTGAAACGGTTTCTGCTTAAAACATGGTTTGACTGAAATACTGCATATGAACAAGTGTGTAGGAATTTGACAAAAAATGTAAATTGGTCTGAAGCAGGAGCTGCAAGGAACAAGTCAACCTAGAGAGTTCATTGATGAGGGGTCTTTTGTTGCCAGTCTAGGTTTACATTGTAGAAAGTTAGCAGAAAGTCACACAATGATGCAAATGAACACAGGAAAACAAAAAGATGCCCTTAAAAGTGTAACAATTATTAATTTTATTTTCCAGTAAAATATTCACATAACGATATTGGAATGGAATGGTACAGATGAATTTGGACTGGTTTTTAATTAGTTTGCACATAAACATTTTTAAAATCTAAAAATTTTATGATCAGAGTTTACAGATTTTAGTATAAATTTTGATTCTTACAAAGCAAGTATTGCTTTACTATTGTCATTATTCCAGTCAATAATATGACTAATAACTTTTCGTGTTGAACAAGTGTCTGACATTGACATCTTCAATAAATCAGCCCTTTGCAGATCAATCCAAGAAGAAAATATTATTAAACTGTGTTGCACAAAGTTTCTTCACTTCTTCTGTAAGAAATAAAAATAAGGTATTTCAGTATGGTATTTTACAGGAACCTCTGCAAGAAATACCCTGGGGATCAAGGAGAATGTAATTAAATTCAAACAGAAAAAAACCTAGGAGTTTGTAATGTAGAAATACTGAAGACAGAATCAAATTCAGTGTAAGAGAAAGTTGAGTCAAGTCCAACATTTCACACTGTCTGAAAGATGAGTTGGATTTTAAGTGGCTGAAGTATAAATGGCAGTTTGAGTTTGCTGCTGGGCCATTCATTCATCTTGTCAAACTTTTACACTGCAACAGCAGAAAGCTTAGCTTCAACACAAGGAAGTATATTGTAACCCCTTTTCAGGGGAAGGAGGGATTAGTGTCAAGTCAAAAAACTTTAGCTTTGTGCTATTTGGCAGACAACGCTTTGGGGGTAGCAGTACATGCTAAGTTTATCAAGCACAGAAACACTCATTTACTGTTTCTGTAGGGCAGGTTTGATCCTGAAAGACAATTAGAAATCACTAAGTCATACAACTCATTCCTCTTTTTAAAATTTAGGTTGTTAGGCTATGGTCTTGGAAAAGCATTAATTCTTTCCCATCATCCAAACAAGCACATTGCCTCCTATTAAAACAGAGAGCCCTAACATTGCTGCAAGACTCAAAGTGCCATTTCTCTTAAAGTCTATTTAAAAGCTTACTGCATCTTAGCATTAATTTGCACTCTTAGTCATAGTAAATCATTCTCAGAAGACTATTGGAAGCAAGAGAGGATAGACGTTGTCTTAAGTAACCTACCCATGGATCACTGACAAATAAAACCTAACTCAGATGAAAATATGTTAATCTCTCACCTGTAATACACTTCATTAATTACTCAACTAGGTTCACAGAGCTGTCCTCTATTATTTGAAGGAGGAAGGATGACTGATTAATAATTAAGAATATCTACTGAATATTTATGCTTTTCTTTCACAGCTGGTAGAAAGGAGACTAAAACCTTACGCAAACTTACCTGGTCTATCATAGATCAATCCCTCTCTAGATTTCTTGTGAGATGGATTTTATTACTTCTCCAGGGACATACATTTTAGTAGTAACTGTATTTAAAGGTAATAAAAAACAATCCTTACCATTAACTTCAATCAGATTTGCATTTTTTTGATTCAAAATAACATACAGTTCTCGCTGGTCAGACTTTTTCCCAACTACCCAGTAATCACTCATTGCCTTCACAATAATTTCCTCGTCTTCATCAACTCTGAAAATTTTAGAAAGTAAAGAAGGTGGCAGCAAGTTCATCTTCAACAATTTTATTTGTAACCATTAGGACAGCTTAATGTCATAAGTTGTTGTGGTTGTACAGCATCAGATAGAGACTACCAATACTAACTTTGACATAATTCACCAATCCAGGAGGAAGGGTTCATAAATGGCTGCTCAGGACAATTGCATACCCAGATGAATACACTGTTAATTTGTCCATCAGCCAAACACTCCAGTGCTCTGCAGAAAACACCTATCCCCCATACGCTTAAGGACACATTTCAGAGAATTATGATGTGACCAAATAATGACAGTTGGAGATGATAACGGTGACATTAAGCTTTCACATATCTAATTGTTAAGCCTAGAGCTAAACCATGCTCAGCAACTACATATATTACCTAAAGCTGTTGCTAACCCAGTACTTCTACAATATGAAGAAACTTTTTATTTATAGAAAAAATGAAAACCTTGTCCTCAAGCAGAGTGGGAAAATTGCTAGTTGCTAATTAGACATCACACTCACTCAGCGTTTTCATGTTCTTTATTAATTTTTATAGTGACAGAGGGTCTCTGCCACCTTGAAGCACAATACCCACTGATGAGAAGCCAGTTGTCTTCAGTTATCAGCATTACTGTAGTAACTGCAAGGTTTGCGTTGCATCTATTGTCTAATCCCTAAGAACAGCCAGCTGTTTCAGAGGGGATAATATAGGCAGAAGCAGGTTTCCCTGTCCTTTATACTACTTACCCAGAGATCAGAGAGACTTAAGTGCAAGAGCACAAGGCTTCACATCTGTTCTAAGTTTGTTATAGTTACTCTGAAGCTTCAAATAGATGAGATATTTTCTTGGCCCTTCTTTACATTATTTTTTAAAAGGACAGGAGAAGTTTTGTTTAAGACAGACTACTTCTAAACCAACACAGAATACCAAGTACGACCCACGTTACACCATTTATCTCACAGCGCTATGAATAGCCATCCAAACAGAGACATGAAAGCTTCACTCATTTGGAGAAAAAAAAAAATCTACTTGACAGGAGGAGTTACAGACTATTAATAGTTAAGCATTACCTGGAGAAGTCACTGTTGATGTCACCGAGAATCTTCATGAGGTCAGGGTGAACAGATGCAAGTGATACACTGGGTGTTTTCCTCATGTGAATGGTACTTTTCTCTGCCAGGTTCATGTGATTGAAATAGATAAACTTAAACTGAGGCTCCTTCTCAGCCCTAGGAAGATTTAAAAAAAAAAAAAGTGACTTGTGAATACTGACTTGTTCTGCAAGCACAGGCTTCACAGAGAACAAGTAACTACCCAATGCAAAGCTTACTCGGACATCCTGAAGTTATCTTCCCACTGAAGAGCCCAAGTACTTCAAGACTTGTGGCATAATCAAACCTCATTTTAACACTTAAAAAGCCACAAAAAACCCCCAACAAAACAAACCACAAGCCTGCAAAATGAACCAGTTTTTTCCCTTCTGCTGCTTAGGCTGCTAGTAAATAGAGGGGAGTTTCAAGGCCCTGTCCCACTTCTCAGTAGTAGTTTGCATTTTTCTACTGAGCTGTTTATAAATCTGTCCCCCATTTTGTTTCTTTGCTCCCCTATACCAGTCCAATCTGGTTTGAATGGATGCTAGGTCTTTAATTTGATTAATAAGTAACCTTCCACTCACGTCTTTGTTATTTGTTACAATCAAAAGAAAGAACTCTTCCCCCTATTGTTTGTGTGGGCCAAGCAAGAGACTGTTTTCAAACTCTTGCCTTGGTAGTCTTCCTCCATTTCCTCTTTTATTAAGTTCATATAAAATCTGTCACTTAGAGCTGTAGTTTTGGTAGAAGTCACAACAAATTCAGACTGGCAAGAACTGGCTGTAGCAGTTGGTATTTGAGGCTATGGATTATTTAGAAGCATGGAGCTACTGTGATGACACCACTCACCTCAGCAAACCACTAGATACCCTTGCTCTCTGTCACCCAGATGCATTAGTGTCCAGAAACCATATCATGTTTTCAGGACACCACGGCATTAAATTTTAAAAGAGTTAAAGCTGCCAAAGCCAGTCCCAGATGACATTAAAACTCCCCAAGTTTAATGATTTAGTAGATTGGCACAATTTCAAGCACATCCTATTCTAGACTCTGCGATTTTGCTGATTTGGCCTGCTACCACTAAATAAGTTCAGTCACACACCTATCTTTGGTTTAATTCCTCTTTTGTTGTCATATGCAATGCTGTTCTTGCTTCCCCAACTAACAAGTCTATCTAAAAATAAATACAATTTTATGGAAAGTCGGCTATAGTTCTAAGTGAAGTATATATTCCAAAGCATTAACGTCCTTTTTCATTTGACTACTTTTTTTTTTGCCCCTCAAGTCGATAGTTACCTTAGTCCTGCAAAACAGAAAAAATAACAGGTATTTTCCTCACCTACTACTATACACGGCAACACTTCAAGAAGCAGTAATTCTGGAAAAAAGTACTGAACTGTAAAGCGTGCATCGTAACCAAATAATAACACTTACTAAAATCCCCATTTCAGACTGTTAAACAAAAGTTGTTCTAGTATCTAGACCTTCATTTTCCTTTTGGATTTGTAACAGCTAAGAGTTACATACGCTCCATCCAAGCTGTTAAGTGCTTGTGTCTAAGGCAATACTCACACAGAGCTAGTGGTGTCAGTGCCCACTCGATGTGAAAAATACAGGGTATTTTTAATGTTATACAAAATAGCAGAAAGTCAAACGGAAATCAGCACAAAGAAGGATATGGGCATGAAGAGAGTGGTATTTTTAAATTTTTTTTTTTTAGTTTTAAGTCAAATGTTCTACTAGCCCAAGGGCTATTTGTGAACATTATGAGATTCTGTTTTCCTCAAGAAAAGTTAGAGAGTATAAGCTGAAGTTAAGATTTTGCAGGAATTGCTACTTCTCTACGTCAACATGGGGAACAGTGACAGAAGACTACCACTTCAGTTGGCATTTTGGCCATCTTGGATGTATTTCTGCAAGCACAGTAATCTGTAGAACGCATCATCTCCATGGGTCAGCTAGTTTCAGTTTACGTATGAAATAAGCAAAAACTAGAAGTTCCACCGCTTCTATCTGAATAATCTCCTGACAGCTGGGGGATGAGGCGGCGGAATCTCAATTGATAACAATGAAATTTATCTTAATATTTACATGATTTTTTTCTGCAACAGTTACGCACATAGAGGAAAAAGGTTTCAGCAGCCGCAAAATAAACATTTGTTCCTAAATCAATCACATATATGTTGTCTTCAGGAAGACCTAAATATGCAACTTTATAAATGCTAAAGATGCAGAAAGGTAGATCAACAGCATTTAAAGTACACGGTTCACTCAATGCTTTCAACATTTGGGCTCACGTTACCATTATTTAAGCAGTTCATTAAACCTACTTTTTAACCAACTAACGAGGGACTGCACCAGGAACAGAAGTGTGGTACAAACCCTGATATTCTCTTGTTGATGTTGTATTGTTCACATATGTCTGAGGCTAAGACGGTGAGTTGAGGCCCAACAATGCTGTCCAGTTTACGGCAAAACTCCAGCGTAGGTGGAATTGAAGCTAGGTGGTGGGTAAAGAAAAGAGTGAGTTGAGATTCTCTCCCCACCGTTGAAGGTACAGTTTCTGCAGCTGTTTTCTTTAAACATCAGTGAGAGTCTGGAACAAATTTCTCTCTCAATTATAACCCTATGGATGATTTTGAAAGTCATAGCTAACTCAAGCAACGTTTAGTCATTTTATTGTGACAGTTTAGTTACTTATACCACTGGAACAAAAATCAAAAGACTCATGAAGAACAGACTCAAATAAATTAATGTATTTTTCAAGAGTAAAACTGCACGGAATAGCATTTTGTACTATGTCTTGCCAAATAACGCTAATAGGTACTTACCATCAATCATAAAGCAGACAGCTGCACTCATGGCCTGCAAGAAAAAAGTTAAAGAAAAAAAAACATTTACAACAGGTTACCTCAACTACCTCCAATAAATGACAATACTTCAGTGAAGTCACACACAGGTAAACCAGTTAAATAAAAAAAAATACCTAGTTTAAAGGTAACACTTCAATAGGGTAATCTCTTTGCAATCCTGCACAACACAGAATAAATTCAGCCCAATTAACAGGTTTTAAGTTGTAGGGGAAAGGTAAAATTTGCTAAAAATGCATTTTATGCAAGGATATATGTCTGCAAGAAACTTGCATTTTTTGTTTTATTGATTAATGCTACATAAAGCCAGGTATGAAACCACTTAGCGTAACTGAAGGCTGGTATTCAGTTTTAATAAAACAACTGTTTGTTTTGGGGAGGGTACAGGAGGGGGAAAAGAGGATTCAGGCTTTAAAGCTTGTTGCTAGAAACACCAAAGAGTTTTCTGTTGCTTTGCCTTAACCTGGTCATATCAATGCATCTGTCTACACAATTCCTAAGTACTTCACACGACTGTCATCTTCATTGTATATAGATTCCTAATTCTGTGGAATAATTGCAGGGAAAAGTGTAATACCTTATAAACAATTAAGTGAAGCTCTTCGTAAGTGTCATCAGTGTTAACAAATATTTTGGGGAAACGGCATTTTGCTTCCGGATCATTAAGATTTAAAGGTCCAGTAAGAAACCTAGAAAATAGGTCAGATGCAAGGAATTCTTATATTTCAGTTTTTCCTATTTAACAGATGTTTTTGAAACTAGCAATTACTTGTGTTATGAATATATTTGAATACAATGAGTTTTCAGCTATCCAGACAGGTGTAGAGCCCTTTAATATATTATCTCAGCACTCTTCATTTTCAAAGTATTATCTGCATATATGCTCCAAAGAGTTACTGAAACAGGATCAGAAAGCCAGAATGACGCCAAGGAAGTAAACTGTGCACATCATAAAAGAAACAACAACAAATCTCTTTTCACATTCAAGGTGTGACTACCTTTAAAAACTTTTCTTTTGTTGCTACTGGGGAAGTAGTCTTCCTTTGGGTTCCAACAGTACCTTTGAATTAGTTCTATATAGGACAGTGGTGTATTAGAAGCACCTAAACTTGGGTGAGGACAGGGTGGGGGACGACAGGGAGCGTGTGCCACTGCCTTGATCCCAAAAGAATACAATAAATCAGGCAACAGGAATTATCGTGATTAAAGGAAGATGTCCAAACACACAATTATTCAAAATATTGCTGCCCAGCTGCTCTAAGTACAGAATTCCCCACTCTTGACATGCTGAGTACAGAGGAAAAATAAATAGATAAATCCTTAGATTAAATCTACACCTTTGTCTGAAGTGCCTGACTGAAGTGACCAAGCACTTCTAAATTTTTTTCATGAATTGCATTAAGAATGGTGGGGAAGAAAAATAAATATGTAGTAATGTTAATGAAGCTTTCTTCCTTTTTTTTCCAAGAGATCAAGATTTACACTGCACCAACTACTGTGTGACCCTCTGGAATGAACTGTGTGTGGAATATGTACTCCAAATACACGTACTCCTCCCGAATGTTTTGCCCTTGAGGGAAGGGGCAGTAGATGGTGACAGTAAACAAGAGCTACCTTCCATAGTGTTGTAGATTTCCTGGCATTTCAGCACGTATAGGAGAATCTCTTCCCGCTAACTGAAATAAAAAAGAACACACACAAGAAAAAACAACTTAAAGGTATTTTCTGGGGTTTTTTTTGTGGACTGTCTTTAAATGAAATCAAACTGTTTGCAGAAATTACCACTCATGAAGATACATACTCTTTGTGTAACATGAAGGAGGTAAAGCTGAAGCGTAAGAGATGCTGACAGAACAGGGCATTCTGATTTTGCATTTATTAATTTTAAAACTTAGCTTATGGAGCTTTTTGATGGGGGAGGGATAACTAACTCCATGTGGTCTTAGGGCACTCCATGCTGCATTTAGCCATTACGTTGAAGTGATTGATCTGCAGTACTAGCAGTCATCAGGTATCAACATTTAATTAACTCCTTATCACCATCCCATATTCAAATTATCTGCACAATTCACATTGTAAGCATTAGGTGCAAATACTACTGAGTTTAGTAAAGTGTCCCGAAAGCAATAAATCTCAGAATTCCTGAACTAAAATTTAAGAGAGGAGGG